TTGCTGCCCTTCAGCTGACAGGCTGGGGTGCAGCAGAGCTGAGACCTGTCTGCCATGGCCCCTGTGAGGCTGCCACACCGTCTTGTTCCCGGAAATCCCTGCAGACACAGCCACTGCCCTGGTGCAGGGTCAGAGCCCATCGTTGCAGGACACAAAGCCATCAGAGCACGGAAACTCGCAGGGTTTGGGAGCAGCTGCCAGGTTAGGGAGGGCAAAGCACGCATCAGGCTTGCCTCTGCTGCTCAGGGATGCACAAAGGGGTTTCACAGCAAGGAGAAGCCCCCTGAGCCTTTCAGCCAAGAGGAGACCTCAGACAAGCTGAAGGCCAAACCAGTGGAGGAGCTCATCATCCAAGGACCAAAATCAGCTGAGAAGATGCAGCGGGAAAGACCAAGGTGAGATGGGCTCAGCTAACAGTGTTGCCCTGCTGTGCCACTTCTTTTGCATGTGTCCTGCCCTTCTGCTTCCTCAGGAGAGGTGATGACACTTAAATTGAAAAAAAAAACCCACTCGGCCTTTGCTGCTGCTGTTTCCCAGCTCTGATGAGCCAAGACAACTGCTGCCAATTAAAGTATCCAGGTCTCTGGAGCAGGCACTGGAGAAACTGAACCTGTCCTCCAAGGATGAGGCACCTGAAGGCAGTTGTGCAGGTAGTGATGAGCTGATAGATGGCGGTGGGGTTGCACGTGGCAAGTTCACTGTGGGGTTTTGCATGGCAGGTTCAGGGCAGGATGGCGGGTGCTGCATGCTCAGCCACCTGCAAACGCACAGAGCTGCATCCTGGAGGCGCGTTGCAGTGGGCTGTGCTCAGGGGCCATGTGTGCTAAGCTGGGGAGCTGGCAGTGGAGCTGCATGGTTTGGGGGCAGGCACAGGTGGTGCGTGCCCCGGGGTGAAGCTGTGTTGCTCTCGCAGGGGAGGCAGCTGCCCAGGTGAGAGCTGGCACCACCTGCAAGAACGCAGCCTGCAAGGCAGTGAGTACCCAGCAGAGTCCCATCTTTGCACGGTCTGCACTGCATGGCCGGGAGCACCATAGGTCTGGTGTGGGGGCATGTCTCCCAGCTGCCACCAGGTGTGGGGCAGGGTGCCGGGTGGGTGGGAGGTGGCAGTGCCCATCGGTTCTGTATGCTCCTGCTCATCCCATCCCTGGAGTGGCTGCCTCTGTCACCTCCCAGCCACGTTCCTTCAAGAAGCTTCTAGATTCCTGGATTGGTGGTACATTCGTGTTTCACTGCTGCTAATTGCTTGCAATGAAATATAGCACATATTCAGGATATGAGCATATAGGTAAAATGCACGTGGAATAATTCTCACCTGCATTTAATTAATGCAGCACAGCCCACTCCCTGTCTTGCCCCACGACTGCCTTGTGTAGGACTGTCTGCCTGCCTTGAGGCGTATGCCGGAGGGTCCAAGCTGCGGGAGGGCTGGCAGCATGCTTGGAAAGCAGCAGAGAGGGGAGCGAGCAGGGAGCAAAAGGCGGGAGGTGGATGAGGACATGAGACTGACATGCTCTGGGAAGGAGGGGAAGGGACAGGATGGACGAACGGCCCCTTGCACCTCAGAGCGAGTTTCTGTGGTGTCCAAACTTGCCCATTGTCCCAGTGCTGCCCAGCTGGGACCAGGCTGTGTTTGGGAGAGGGCATAGGGAAGGGCTGCTGCCAGCGTCATGGGGATGACAGTGGGGTCCCGGCAAGGCCAGAGGGGCTGCCCTGCCGGCAGGGAGCAGGGACCAATGCCGGGCTGCCAGCTGGGCATGGTCCAAGAGTAAGTCCTTACAGATGCTGGACCCGGTGAAAGGGTGATGTTGGGCATCATGCTGTGCCCTATGCAGGGATGGGCACCGATGGGCGGACGCCTAGCTGTGCCATGCCATGCCATGCCATGCCAGAGGCACAGCCGAAACTTTCCTCTGCTTCTCACTCCACAGATCTACCAGGGCCCAGAGAGCAACACAGAGGTTTGTACTTTCCACCCTGGCGTTCCTGTCTTCCATGAGGGGTAAGAAACAACCCTTTACGGGGGAGCAAACTGACCCTGCTGAGGGCTCAAAGTGCTGCATCACAAGGTTGTGTGGCCTCAAGCAAGCATGGCTGGTGCAATCGTGGGTGACTCCCCCCAGGGTGACACGTGGGTGGGGAGGCTGCTGGTTCCGAGCCCCTCTCTGCCACCACCCCGAAGCCAGCTGTGGTCCCCTCTCCTGCTCCCGTGGGTGCTCCCTGCTCAGGTCACCCTGTCTTCCCCAGGATGAAGTACTGGAGCTGCTGCAGAGTCAAAACGACAGACTTCAGCACCTTCCTGGAGCAGCCAGGCTGCAGCAGCGGGCGGCACTGCTGGACGGGGAAGGGGGTAAGGTCTCGGCGGGGGCAACTCGTGTGAGCAAAGTGCTGTTACTGGCACCTGAGGAGTGCTCCTTCCCTTGCTCTGCATTCACATGGGTTTCTGCATTTAATTTTCTTAATTTTCATAATTGCCAACAGACGACTGCACAGGGTTTGAATGTCTAATCTTCACTCATTTGCTGTTTAAAATGCTGCTCCTGCATTCACAAAACATGTCAGCTCTCACACCCAACAGGCAATAGGAAGCTGAACAAGGCAGGAGCTGGCCCCGGGCATGCCATAGCCAGCGCTGCAGGCTGCCGCACAGGGACAAGCAGCTGAGCATGGGAAAAGCCCTGCAAAAAAACCCCCAAAAGTTTTGACAGATGACTTCAGATGACTGAATTTGGTTTTAACAAAGCTTTCCCTCTGCAACTGCTTCCCAGGAGGGACCTCATCTGCATAGCGACATGGTGTTGTGGCAGGGCAATGGAGAGAAGATCCCAATTCCCAATATTGTGTATGTGTGTATAAGTTTCCACAGGAAAGTTCTTGGCTGGAAACAGGCTTGAGCTGGGAAAGCTGCACCAAGGTGGCCCAGGATACCCCTGAAAGTGCAACGTGTTCCTCTGAGTCAGCATTGCTCTGAGCAACCCTCTCTGACCCCAGTCTGTTCTTTGTACTGGAGCAGAAAATATATAGTGGATGTAAAGGAGGCTGCAGTGAATGAACTGTGATGTTGTAATGCAGGTGCTTTGTGCTAATTGTCACCTGAGTTTGGGGCTGGGATTCCTCCTGGGGTGTTTCTTTAGCTGGCAACGCTGAGGGCTGCAGGGGGTCTATATCCTGCTGATGCTCAGAAATGCCTGGTGGGGCCAAAACTGCCTGTGGCATGGATGATGTGGGGGTCCTGTGGGAGAAAGGTGAGACGTGGCCAGCTGGGGCTCATCTGTCTCCCAAATTTAGATCATGGTGGCATGATCTATGTCCAGCAACAGCCCCTGCACTGCCCTCCAGACTGAGCTTCTTGACTGTGTACAGCACCTGTGAGCTTGGGCACAGCAGAGTGGCTCTGGAACAAGAAGGGGATGTCTCTGGTCTTAACACGACCTTCTAGGGCAACCCCAAGCACAGCACAGATGCCCCATGTTGCATGGAACAGCTTGGCAGGGGTGGCCCACCCTCGCATGAACCACCTCCCCTCAAAAACCTGTAAAAAAGGCAGGGTTTGATCTTGCTTAGCCGATGCCGACCTCAGCTGGCGCTCTTGCGAAGGAGACGTGCGAAGGAGCATCCTCCGGCACAGACATCCCCTCTGTTTGGGGTGTGCTTGGGCTAGATGCCATGCCACGATGGGTTCCTCTCCCTGGCAGGACAAGAAGGCGGTGTCGTGCCGGCACGACTGGCACCAAACCAGCAGCCAGGTGGTGGTGACGGTCTACGCCAAGAACCCCCTGCCCACCCTCAGCAGCGTGAAAGCCAACCGCACTGTGGTGAGTGGGGCTGACAGAGCTGGGCTGGGAATGCGCGCTTTCATGGCACCTGATTTTGATGAGCCAGGGACTAGCCTGGTGCTCTTTGATGGCCTGTTTGGTCTGTTACTGCAGCTGAGGTTGGCACTGCCGACCTGCCGTCCCCGAGCTGAGAGCCCAGTGGCTTCGCTGCTGCAGCAGCATCTGCCTGGCCACTCTGCCTCAGTGGCTTTCAGCCTCAGTGGGTGGCTTTGCTGGCCTTGAATCCCTCAACTGGTGGCAGAGGTGAACCCAGCATGCTCTGAAGGGGGTGAAATGCTTCCAGGTGCAGAGGGGATCACCAGACCATTACACCGGAGCCAGGATGTGGGATGCGTTATGGTGCTGGAAGGCAGCTGCACTGTCTGGGGGAAGAGCTCTGGCAGTGCTGTGCTACCCACTCAGATAATTTTCTGTTGATCTTTCAGCTTGAGGTTCATGTCATCTTTGAAGGGAATAAGATTTTCCAGGCAGAACTGGATCTTTGGGGGGTAAGATCCTGTTTACTTTGATTTTGCTATTCCAGTGGTCTGCATGGAGCTGGGCTGCAATTCTGTGGGGCAGCCTGTGCTCTGGGAGAAGCATTTGCAGCCCCAAACACAGGCTCCCAGTAAGGAAAATTACTCTCTGCGTAGTCAGGATTCTCAGACTTTTGAAAAAGCAGCAAAATGGTTGTTGCTGCAATTTCTGCACAGTCCTTCCTGTGCATGGAGCATAAGGCAGACTTTGACTGTATTATTGCATAGAAATGCTGTGGGCCCCAGGACACCATCTCTTCCCCAGCTGGCACATCTGTGGAACAAACAACCATTTTGTAGTCCCTCCCTTGGTGTGATTCATTGCCAGCTCTCGAAGCCTTGCAGAGAACACAGGTCCACCACGGCTGTCACAGCAGAAAGGACCCGTTTATCTCCAGAGCTCCAGTTTTCTATAGCAGCAAAGGCTGATGGGGAAATCAGGTTTTTCTCTATTGATCCCATAGTGGTAGCATCCCCTGGGAGCTATGCCAGGACTGTGCCTGGGCTCGGTGCCTGTCTGACTGCTCTGCACTACCTGAGGCACCCTGGCACTCTTTTAAACGCTGCTACAGCACTGGCTTGCTCTTGTTGGGATGGTCTGCAAGCCAGGTCACCTAGGTACTGGCATTTATTGCCATCTCTGCTAGGAAATGCCTTAGGGGTTGTGAGGAGGGCTGTTTCAGAGGCTGCTGGTGTCTGCACCAATCGATCCTGGACTAAGAGCAGAGCTGGACGTTGCTGGGTTTTGGTGTTCTGGGTTTGGTCCCAGACAACCCCAAAGGGTCTTTGGCCCAGAAGGTCCCTGTCTCCCCCTGCAATCCTGCTGTGCCTGTGGGGACTCGCTCTCTGATTTCTCTGCTGCTTGCTGGCTGGGGAGAAGCAGTGAGACTCAGGAATTTGCATGCGCATTTCTTGCCTTTATTTCTGGTGCCTGCTGCCTGCATCCGCAGGCAGCAAAGTGTGCTGCCGGGTGTGGGTGTGCCTGTGCCTCAGCGCAGCTCACTGCCGTGGGGAGAGGGCTGTACCACAGCCGGGCACATGGCTGCGGCTAGCTGAGCTCTCCTGAGCTCTGTACCAGCACTGCGGTGCTGCTTAGACATAACACTGTGAAGCTCAGCTAGAGTCCAGGTTTCATCCTGCTCTGTCTCCTGGCACATGAGGAGAGGAGATCTCTCCTCTCTTCTCCTCTGGCAGGGCTCTGCCAGTAAGGGGAAGGATGAGCACATGCTGCCTGCCCTCCCCTGCCCAGCTCACTGCACCTTTCCCTCTCTCTAGGTCATTGAAATAGAGAAGAGCTTTGTGAGCATGGTCCCTACCAAGGTGGAGATCACGCTTTGCAAAGTCAGCCCTGGCTCCTGGGCCAGGCTGGAGCTCCCCCAAAGCACGTCACACTCCTGTGGTGAGCAAAAGAAGGAGGCTACCAATGCAGAGGAGCCAGGGGCAGCGCAGGGGGAGGACTCGGATGACAGCTTGAGCTGGTCGGAGGAGGAAGACGAGGAGCTGGGAACACCAAGCAACTGACAGTCAAGTGCTTCAGCAGCTGAGCAGTGCCAGCTCCTGAGCTGCCGGGGACCTTGGCACCAGCTCCAGAGGAGCAGACCCAGCCCAGCCCCGTGTGCAGGCTGCAGCACACCCTCTCCCCCGGACTGAAGGGGCGAGTAATAAAAACCCAGAGCAAAGGTTATACTCTGAAATTCCTGATAGGTGCTTAAGAAACATCAGTGGGCTGAACCCTGCCATCTGTCTCTCCCTCTCCTGTGCCCGGCTGGGGCAGGACAATGGGAGGAGCCCCCTTGTCTGTACCTCAGGCAGCCTGTGCCTGTGCCAGGTCTCCTTGGGGCCAGGGTGCTCACAGCCTGGCATTCTGCCTGACCCTGGCATTTCTGGGGGGATGCAGAGCCCCAGGGCAGCAGAGTGAGCTGAGCTTAACCCCCCCATACCACCACCTCACTCCCTCCGTGGCGGGGAAGGGCAGCTGGGCCCGGGAGGTGTTCAGAAGGGGCGAGTAATAAAAACCCAGAGCAAAGGTTATACTCTGAAATTCCTGATAGGTGCTTAAGAAACATCAGTGGGCTGAACCCTGCCATCTGTCTCTCCCTCTCCTGTGCCCGGCTGGGGCAGGACAATGGGGCAGGACAATGGGAGGAGCCCCCTCGTCTGTACCTCAGGCAGCCTGTGCCTGTGCCAGGTCTCCTTGGGGCCAGGGTGCTCACAGCCTGGCATTCTGCCTGACCCTGGCATTTCTGGGGGGATGCAGAGCCCCAGGGCAGCAGAGTGAGCTGAGCTTA